AATAAATTTAAATTTTGAGCGTTGTGTCTATTTATAATACAAAAATTAAAATTTTGAATGCTTCTAAAAATAATAAATAAAGTGATGAACATTATCAGTAGTTAGGACTTTGAGCAAAATATTTCATCACAGGCATAATTGGTAATTGAAAATGACAAACATTCATACAAAAATAGGTTGACTTATCAACCAGAAATGGAAATAAGCTAAGCTGGTAATATGATCAATAGATCTAAACTGATAAGAAAAATACCTTGGATAATCCTAATAACTGATAAGAAAAACACCTTGGATTAATCTTATTGTCTCTTAACTAAATTCGGATTTTGTGAGTGTTCAAATTGTTGGTAATTGCTTGCCATGGCTGCTAATTGATTCTGATTTTGGTGCGGTGGGTACATTGAGAATACGGTGGCAGTTCTGTAATTGTGGTGGTGTTTTGTGGTTCCGGATGTTATAGGAGAAGGACGGAGGAGAAGGAAGTATTCAACTAATTATATTATGACACGTGGTAATCTCGGTAATATCTGGTTCGATAAGAGGATTTTCAAAGAGAAGAAAAGTAGAGACCATTGTAGAATATGACACGTGGTGGAAGATCAACGGGGGAGCATATATCATGCTGGTTGTGGTTGTACGTTTGGGGTAGTTGAATCATTTTAGTTATTGGACTGCAAAGGAATACCAGGAGTGTATGCCCATAGACAAAGTGAAGGGCTCAATAGAAAATAAGCCTAAAACCCAATTTGTAAATATTGACAATGATATTCCTGGTGTATCTCTGTAAGCAACCACATAAAGGAAGTAACGACAGAAGGAGCATGTGGTGGAAAACCAACTTCAGCAAAGCCAGCAATATTGACCGAAAAAAACAGCCATCAATAAGATAAGATTGCAGGGTTGCGTCATGCGTGAGCGAATTTTCCAAGCTCAGCTGCCTCAGTATTCACCAATAAGTTCACAAGTCACACAAAGCTAAGCAAACGTAAACATTGTCAATTGAAAATGGAGCAAAGCAAAGGCAGGAGAGTGATCCTCTTCCCAATGCCCTTCCAAGGGCACATAAACCCTATGCTGGAACTGGCCAACATTCTGCATTCCAAGGGCTTCTCCATAGCCATCATCTACACCAACATCAACTCCCTCAATCCTTCAACCCTAAACCCAAACTTCACCTACCATTCAATCCCTGTTGACTTGACAGAAAACGAGGCCTCCATCAAGGATCCCACCCTTCTTCTTTCTATTCTAAATGCTAAATGTGTTGAGCCTTTCAGAGAATGCTTGTCCGGGTTGTTATCCGACGACGTTAATTCGGAGGACCCCGTTGCATGCTTGATCTCGGATCCTCTCTTCGATTTCACCCGATCGGTTGCGGAGAGCTTTAAGCTGCCGAGGATCGTGTTAAGAACAGGGGGTGCCGCTTCCTTGGCTGTTTTTGCTGCATTTCCACTTCTCAAGGAAAAAGGTTACCTACCAATACCAGGTACAATCTCAAGCCAACAAAACCCTATTATCAAATGTCTTTTTATCTCATCATTGTTAGTGACCCACGTAGACTGAAAACACCATATCAAGACTAATGACTCTTTTGGAATTCTTTTTTATAAGTAGCACTTTTGTTCTTCGTTCGTAAGAGATTATGCAATATGTGCTTTTATTACAAACATGTAAACTTTCTTATTAAAAACTCGAGCACATGGAAAAAAAAAAAAAAATTCAAAGTGATTCTTCTTCTGAAATCACTTCATTGATCCAAAAATGTTTTTGGTTGCAAAAAACACTTCAGCACTTCTAGAAGCGATCCCAAATTAGCATTTTGACAATTTATGCGGATTTGAGTTAGGTTAGCATTTTTATTTCTTGCTGTGCCTCCTCATAAATTAGCATTTTAGAATATGCATTATCTAAAAGGAAAAATATAATTAGGAACCTTAAATTTGGTTTTCTATTTTGACAATAATTAGATTCTCGACTAGAAGAGCTGGTGACGGAGCTTTCACCTATAAAAGTAAAAGACCTACGTGCAGCGATGCCCAATTGCGACCCTGAAGATTTCTATCGAGTGATAACCAACATGGTAAATGAAACCAAGGCTTCTCATGGACTCATCTTCAATACTTTTGAAGATCTTGAAGGACAAGCACTTGCCACAATTGGCCCAGAACATTACCCCAATATTCCAATTTTCTCACTAGGTCCATTTCACAAGTGCGGCCCAACAACCTCTTCTTCTTCAACTAGCTTACTATCACCAGACCAAAGTTGCATTTCATGGCTAAACACTCAAGCGCAAAAATCTGTTGCTTATGTTAGCTTTGGGAGCGTTGCCAAGATAGATCACGCTCAATTTTTGGAGATTGCTTGGGGGTTGGCCAATAGTGGCCAACCCTTTTTGTGGGTGGTTCGACCCGGATTAGTTCAAGAGTCGGATTGGCATGAAGCATTGCCTAACGGATTTTTAGAAGCGTTGTACGAAAGAGCCCATATCGTGAAATGGGCTCCACAAAAAGAAGTGTTGGCCCACCCTGCAGTTGGAGCCTTTTGGACTCACTGTGGTTGGAATTCTACATTGGAGAGCATTTGTGAAGGGGTCCCCATGATTTGCACGCCATGTTTCGGTGATCAAATGGTGAATGCAAGATTTGTGAGTGATGTTTGGAAGGTAGGGCTGCAATTGGAGCATGGGATTGAGAGAGGTGAGGTTGAAAGAACAATTAGAAGACTAATGGTTGAGAAAGAAGGGGTAGAGATCAAAGAGAGAGCCTTAAATTTGATGGAAAAGGCAAATCATTGCCTGAAAGAAGGTGGCTCTTTGTACCTATCTTTGGATGGCTTGGTTAAGCACATTTTATCGTTATAAATCGTTTGTTTAAGAGAGTTAGTATTAGCTGTTCAATAAAATAAAAAATAAAGGCTTTTAGTAATGTATTAACTACATATTTTAGAGAGTTTTAATAACAAGGGTCTTATAAAATAAAATCTTAACTAAAACACTCTTTATTGGTTACTTTAATATAATTCCTAATATCAGTTTTTGTTGGAAATCAGAACTGATGCATTATAAGTTTATAACGTTGGTTTTATACTAAGTCTAATATTATTAGTTAGCCAATTGATCATGTGCAGCACACCATGTCCTAATATCAGTTTTCCTTCTTAAACAAAAACTGATATATTTTCTTTGTATCCTAACGTTGGGGGTAATAATGCATCTGCTACCCGATTTGCAAAGCTTTGTTCTTGCTACCCGATTGGCACATGTCAACTTAATCTCCAATCCATTCGACCATTTGATATACTTTAGAAAACCAACAAAACAAAACAATAATGGTTTTAATTAGATGGGAGTAAGTTGTCTTGGAGCCTCATATACCGCATCCAATCAATCTACATAACAACCAAAAAATTAGTTGTCTTGGAGCCTCATATACCGCATCCATTCAATCAATATACATACATACCAGTCATCATACTTACATTGTCTGCTTTTAATTGATCCAAAATACTGGCATATTGTTCATTGGATGCTTCTACTTGCTATCAAATGCTTTTCCAATAGCTTTACCCCAGCTCTTCATCAGCAGATACTCCTCTGTCTCTGATGCCCTGTGATGCATGAACATGGTGGTATCCTCTCGTATCTCCGTATCGTGTTGTGTTGTAATTTTGTGTCGTGTCGTGTCGTATCCTCGTGTCTATGTCCATACATCCTTATAGGCTGCCTTGCAGAAAGATATGACATAAACAAAAAGACATTTGTAGTTAATGAACACGATTTAATTTTTGGGTTAGAAGAATTTGTTAGAATAACTGGGTTTTCAGTAGTTGGCTAACCATCCATAGATGATTTGTGTCTTAATCTTTTAGGGAAACGCCCTGAGGGGAACAAGAGTTTCATCATCGTGAATGGCTGGAGCCAGAATTTATTTGACATGTTAATCTCTGGTTAGACGAGGGGATTTTCAGGGGGAAGAAGAGACCATTGTGGAATATGGCACGTGCCGGAAGATCAACGCAGAGCATATATCGTACTGTGTGAAAATAAATAGACGAATTCGGTAGAAATATTAAAAACTATCTATTTAATACAATTAATTGACTAAACAATTTTAATTGGGAAGTGTTATTGGCACTCTAAAAATCTCATTCTACACTCCTCACAAGTGTATTTTTATTTCCAAATATAGAAAATTTGGAGTGTAGAATGAGATTTTTAAAGTGCCAATAACAATTCTCTTTTAATTTTAATTGACTTTTTTTATAAATAGCATTTATAGAGAGATTAATAGTATAACAATTTTGACTATAAACATAAATTTAATTTATAAATCAGCTATTAAGTGAATTTGAGGATGAGTTCCTCCTCAACCTTGAAAGAACCAAGCATTCCTCATATTTCTAGAGGAGTGTTTATCATATAAGTTGCAGAGTTGTACTTTTGCAATTCAATGTTCTCAGAAGTTCGGCCCCTGTCGTCATCTATTTTCAGCTTGCCATTAGGTGACCATTATCAAGTGCGGGTAATACTCAATTGTTTCATTTATTTTTATTAAATAAATTTAAATTTTGAGCGTTGTGTCTATTTATAATACAAAAATTAAAATTTTGAATGCTTCTAAAAATGATAAATAAAGTGATGAACATCATCAGTAGTTAGGGCTTTGAGCAAAATATTTCATCACAGGCATAATTGGTAATTGAAAATGACAAACATTCATACAAAAATAGGTTGACTTATCAACCAGAAATGGAAATAAGCTGAGCTGGAAATATGATCAATAGACCTAAACTGATAAGAAAAATACCTTGGATAATCCTAATAACTGATAAGAAAAACACCGTGGATTAATCTTATTGTCTCTTAACTAAATTCGGATTTTGTGAGTGTTCAAATTGTTGGTAATTGCTTGCCATGGCTGCTAATTGATTCTGATTTTGGTGCGGTGGGTATATTGAGAATACGGTGGCAGTTCTGTAATTGTGGTGGTGTTTTGTGGTTCCGGATGTTATAGGACGAGGACGGAGGAGAAGGAAGTGTTCAACTAATTATATTATGACACTTAGTAATCTCGGTAATCTCTGGTTCGATGAGAGGATTTTCAAAGAGAAAAAAAGTAGAGACCATTGTGGAATATGACACGTGGCGGAAGATCAACGGGGGAGTATACATCATGCTGGTTGTGGTTGTACGTTTGGGGTAGTTGAATCATTTTAGTTATTGGACTGCGAAGGAATACCAGGAGGGTATGCCCATAGACAAAGTTAAGGGCTCAATAGAAAATAAGCCTAAAACCCAAGTTGTAAATATTGACAATGATATTCCTGGTGTATCTTGTAAGCAACCACGTAAAGGACGTAACGACAGAAGGAGCTGGTGGTGGAAAAAACGAACTTCAACAAAGCCAGCAATATTGATCAATAAGATAAGATTCCAGGGTTGCGTCATGCGTGAGCGAATTTTCCAAGCTCAGCTGCCTCAGTATTCACCAATAAGTTCACAAGTCACACAAAGCTAAGCAAACGTAAACATTGTCGATTGAAAATGGAGCAAAGCAAAGGCAGGAGAGTGATCCTCTTCCCGATGCCCTTCCAAGGGCACATAAACCCTATGCTGGAACTGGCCAAAATTCTGCATTCCAAAGGCTTCTCCATAGCCATCATCTACACCAACGTCAACTCCCTCAATCCTTCAACCCTAAACCCAAACTTCACCTACCATTCAATCCCTGTTGACTTGACAGAAAACGAGGCGTCCATCAAGGATCCCACCCTTCGTCTTTCTATTCTAAATGCTAAATGTGTTGAGCCTTTCAGAGAATGCTTGTCCGGGTTGTTATCCGACGACGTTAATTCGGAGGACCCCGTTGCATGCTTGATCTCGGATCCTCTCTTCGATTTCACTCGATCGGTTGCGGAGAGCTTTAAGCTGCCGAGGATCGTGTTAAGAACAGGGGGTGCCGCTTCCTTGGCTGTTTTTGCTGCATTTCCACTTCTCAAGGAAAAAGGTTACCTACCAATACCAGGTACAATCTCAAGCCAACAAAACCCTATTATCAAATGTCTTTTTATCTCATCATTGTTAGTGACCCACGTAGACTGAAAACACCACATCAAGACTAATGACTCTTTTGGAATTCTTTTTTATAAGTAGCACTTTTGTTCTTCGTTCGTAAGAGATTATGCAATATGTGCTTTTATTACAAACATGTAAACTTTCTTATTAAAAACTCGAGCACATGGAAAAAAAAAATCAAAGTGATTCTTCTTCTGAAATTACTTCATTGATCAAAAAATGTTTTTGGTTACAAAAAACACTTCAGCACTTCTAGAAGCGATCCCAAATTAGCATTTTGACAATTTGTGCGGATTTGAGTTAGGTTAGCATTTTTATTTCTTGCTCTGCCTCCTCATAAATTAGCATTTTAGAATATGCATTAACTAAAAGGAAAAATATAAATACTTATTAGGAACCTTAAATTTGGTTTTCTATTTTGACAATAATTAGATTCTCGACTAGAAGAGCTGGTGACGGAGCTTTCACCTATCAAAGTTAAAGACCTACGTGCAGCGATGCCCAATTGCGACCCTGAAGATTTCTATCGAGTGATAACCAACATGGTAAATGAAACCAAGGCTTCCCATGGACTCATCTTCAACACTTTTGAAGATCTTGAAGGACAAGCACTTGCCACAATTCGCCAAGAACATTACCCCAATATTCCAATTTTCTCACTAGGTCCATTTCACAAGTGCGGCCCAACAACCTCTTCTTCTTCAACTAGCTTATTATCACCAGACCAAAGTTGCATTTCATGGCTAAACACTCAAGCGCAAAAATCTGTTGCTTATGTTAGCTTTGGGAGCGTTGCCAAGATAGATCACGCTCAATTTTTGGAGATTGCTTGGGGGTTGGCCAATAGTGGCCAACCCTTTTTGTGGGTGGTTCGACCCGGATTAGTTCAAGAGTCGGACTGGCATGAAACATTGCCTAACGGATTTCTAGAAGCATTGTACGAAAGAGCCCATATCGTGAAATGGGCTCCACAAAAAGAAGTGTTGGCCCACCCTGCAGTTGGAGCCTTTTGGACTCACTGTGGTTGGAATTCTACATTGGAGAGCATTTGTGAAGGGGTCCCCATGATTTGCACGCCGTGTTTCGGTGATCAAATGGTGAATGCAAGATTTGTGAGTGATGTTTGGAAGGTAGGGCTGCAATTGGAGCATGGGATTGAGAGAGGTGAGGTTGAAAGAACAATTAGAAGACTAATGGTTGAGAAAGAAGGGGTAGAGATCAAAGAGGGAGCCCTAAATTTGATGGAAAAGGCAAAGCATTGCCTGAAAGAAGGTGGCTCTTCGTACCTATCTTTGGATGGCTTGGTTAAACACATTTTATCGTTATAAATCGTTTGTTTAAGAGAGTCAGTATTAGCTATTCAATAAAATAAAAAAAATAAAGGCTTTTAGTAATGTATTAACTACATATTTTAGAGAGTTTTAATAACAAGGGTCTTACAAAGTAAAATCTTAACTAAAACACTCTTTATTGGTTACTTTAATATAATTCCTAATATCAGTTTTTGTTGGAAATCAGAACTGATGCATTATAAATTTATAACGTTGGTTTTATACTAAGTCTAATATTATTAGTTAGCCAATTGATCATGTGCAGCACACCATGTCCTAATATTAGTTTTCCTTCTTAAACAAAAACTGATATATTTTCTTTGTATCCTAACGTTGGGGGTAATAATGCATCTGCTACCCGATTTGCAAAGCTTTGTTCTTGCTACCCGATTCGCACATTTCAACTTAATCTCCAATCCATTCGACCATTTGATATACTTTAGAAAACCAACAAAACAAAACAGTAATGGTTTTAATAAGATGGGAGTAAGTTGTCTTGGAGCCTCATATACCGCATCCAATCAATCTACATAACTTTTGCATATATCCCAAAAAAGGGGCAAAAGGGAAGAAAAAAAACTTTTGCATGTTATACTGCAGTGTTTTTTTTCCCAAGTGAATACACATGCAAAGTATCAAAGAGAGAAAGGAGAAAAAAATTATCAAAATAAGAATTACACCTGTCCTATAATATAAACAAAAGGTAATTACAGAAAAATAGTTGGAAAACACAAAATAAGTAGAAGAGGAAACAGACAATCAGCATAATCTAAAATTATTTAAACAATTAATCCACATTGAAAAGCATACTTTACAAATCCAAACCAAATTACATCATCCAATACATTTTTTTTTTTAATACCTTTGTTATTGTGCCTTTAAATTGATTTCAGCAAAACTTGTTTCTTTTTCCACGGTTTGTGAAGCTCAAAATTTTCAAAAACCTACAATCATTACACAACGTTGTCACATCATAAGTGCAGAAGAAATCACCGCTACCAAAATTTATAAAGACCAAAACAGTTAGCACCCAAAAATAACATTGATTGGCAAAGACCAATTTGCCAACAAAAGTTGAACAGGACATACCCAGAAAAAATTTCCTTAGTTCTTACCATTCTTAAAAATATGACCTAACTTCAACTAAGACCCAAATTTTATTCAAGGATCGTGTTAAGCTAAGCAGCAAATTAAAAACTCACTAATCTTGTTCTTAATTATAGTAATTTAGAAATCAACCGATACAAAAAAAAAAAAAAAAAAAAAAGAAAAAAGAAAAGTCACAAAGCTTAATAAAAACTCATGAAAAAACGAAGTTTTAAACACAACACCTGCACATGACCCTATAATTTGGCTAATTTACAAACGCTCAACGTGCTCAGCAGATGTTAAACTTTTCAGCAGTATATAATTTGAAACTAATAAAACCATCTCTAACTTTTCAGAAATATTTAAACTGAAATGAATTGTTATTCTTTTCAGAAATACCTAACTTTTCAGAAAGAGGCCCAAGAAGCTCATATGAATGAAGGGATTTTGCTTGCTGCACCCATAGACCTGTAAATTCAAGCAAACCCAACGTCAATCAGACCATAGGCCGAAAATCTCAACAAACAAAAAACCGAGCACAAATTCAAAAATCAGAAGTCAGAGAAATTTGTGACCCTAATTTGTGAAACTGCTTTAAACCAACCTACCATGAAATTATAGCCGCTTGAGAAATCTTCAAATCAGAACCGAACAGGCAGCAAGGGGAAGAGTTTGCAAATCCCTAAAATCCCTCCCTCTCTAGCTCTGTCTCCGTCTCTCTCCCTGTCTCTCTCTATCTCTATCTCAGAGGCGGCATGGCCACCTGTCTGCCCTACAATCCCCTCAAAACTACAACTGTGAAAAAAAAAGAAAATTACGTTTTTCATGTGATTTTTCCCTCCTTTTCGACTAGGTATTTAAAGGATTATAAAATATTTGAAAGTATTTTTCTTTGTCGGACAATAATTCGTCATACACTAAAATAAAGTTACATCGTAATACTTGGTCAAGTGGTCATAAAGAAAAGAAGATTGTCATATGGTAAAAAAATACTAGTCTATTTGTTAGTTTGTGTGAGTGACAATTTTCTTATATCGTCGTCATGCGCTTCTAAAATTAAGGTATAAATAAAATTACATTCTTCATCCTTAATATTAAAGTATAAGGAATAAGTGAATAAGTAAACAAAAATTATTTCCAAAAATCATTTTATGTGATTGCAATATTGATCAGTATCTTTTTCTTTCTCTTCCTTCACACAAAAAGAAAAAGCAAACTAGCAACCCAAGCAAGCAAAACACACTGCAGCGAAACATAAACAAGCTATCTAATAGACGAGCATCTGCATTGTTCTCTTATTTTTCCATTGCATCTTCGTCTTCTTCCCTTGCCTCTGTTAATTGTGGTATTTCAGGTTCTAAATCACTTAGGAGTAATCCATCAGGATAAATCCTAACCTCAATCGAGCAATACTTGATGCCTAAAGTGTCTAAGTGCGGAACTTTGACAATGCAATTTTCTGACTAAATTCCTTATAGATTTGGTGTAAGAGAAAGTTCCAAAATTTTCAGCTGACTGAAAGTGATCTCATTTTTTTTAATAAGCTTTTGCCAAATTAAATTTGTGAATACATACATACATTAATTTGTTGAAAGTTAAAATTGAATTAGAATGAATGTAAAAAATATGCAACCCAATCATAGCTAGTAATTATAATCAAAGATAAAAAGAAATTAACAATAAAAAAAATTAGTAAAAAATCAAAGGTAAAAACAATTTAACAATTAAACAAAAAATAGTAAAAAACGGAAAGAAAAAGGCATGCTCGAACCCAAGACAATGACTTAACCAAACATTTTTTAATTTATACGGTTATGAAAACATGTATGGATATACTACCCTAATAAATTTTTTGTGCCCTTGATTTTTTGAGGCCCCAGACGATCGTCGTTAGGGCCAGGGCCGACCCTGATGACAACCATGAAAATGTCCCTGAACTGCTCGAGGTGACGCCGTAGAGTGTCGCTTTAGGTCACCACCACCTCCCCCACCCCCGCCCCCCCCCCCCCCCCTCCACACCAAACACCTTCGTCGTTGTGTCGCTTTAGGTCACCACCACCCCCCCCCCCCCAAAAACACCAAACACCTTCGTCGTTGTGTCCTTGGTGAATCGATCAAATACCCATCACGATCGGAGAAGAAGAGTTGGGTAAGGTTGTCCGTGTAGAGAAAGAGAAAAAAAAGAGAGAACGAGACGAAGCAAATGAAGCAGACGAAATGAAGTGAACAACTGCCCACCATTATCGGAGATCCATAACTTAGTAATTAGAGTTTTTCCATTTACCATAATAACAAAATGGTCATTTGTAGAAATATGGTCAATAGACCTAAACTGATAAGAAAAACACATTGGATTAATCTTAATAATCGATAAGAAACACCTTGGGTTAATCTAATTATCTCCTCATTAAAACTTAGTTGGGGTTTTGTGAGTGTTCAAATTGTGGGTAATTGCTTGCTATGGTTGCTAATTGATTCTGGTTTTGGTGTGGCGGGGGAGAGGGGTAAATATGGTGAGAATACGGGGGCATTTTCGTAATTGTGTGGTGGTGTTTCGTGGTTCCGGTTGTTTCAAGAGGAAGACGGAGGAGGAGTGAAGTGTCCGGTGGTATCTGGTTCGAAGAGGGGATTTCCAGAGAGAAGAAGAGGAGAGCATCGTGGAATATGGCACGTGGCGGAAGATCAACGGGGCGCATATATTACTGATGGGACTATGAAGGAAGACGAGGGTACCGCCCATAAACATGGAGATGGATTGTTATCATTAAGCAACATCAACCTTTTATATTAATTTTTTTTATAAAAATAATAAGACAAAAAATAAATGTTAATGTGACTTAACCGTGACTGCACAAAACAAGAGAACATGGCGAACAATCCATCTCCCATAGACAAAGGGAGCTGGTGGTGGACATATGGGGTGATAAAAAAATCAACTTCAACAGAGCCATCAATAAGATAAGATTCACGCAATTTTATTATTGAATTAGCAAACTCAAAAGAGAAGTATAGGAATGACAATATCTTGATAGGTTGCCTTGTAAAAATATGGTCAATAGACCTAAATAAGAAAAACACATTGGAAAAATCTTAACAATCGATGAGAAAAACACCTTGGATTAATCTAATTAAAACTTAATCCGGATTTTATGTATGTTCAAATTGTTCCCAGTAGAAAAATAAGCCCAAAACCCAATTGGTAAATATAGACAATGATATTCCTTGTGTATCTTTGTAATCAATAACATAAAAGAGGTAACGACAAAAGGATCTGGCGGTCGACATGTGGGATTTAGGGAAAAAAACAGAACCAACAGAGCCATCAATAAGATAACATTCCAGCCTGGAATTTCCAGGGTTGCGTCATGCGTGAGCAAAATTGCCATATGGTAAACGATTGTGGATCAAGCTCAGCCGCCTCATGTGTTCCAAGCTCAAGCTCAGCCGCCTCATTGACCAAAAAAAAAAAACTCGGCCGCCTCAGCATTCACCATAAGTTCACAAGTCACAAGCTAAACGATTGTGGATCCAAAAATGGAGCAAAACACAGGCAGGAGAGTCATCCTCTTCCCACTGCCCTTCCAAGGGCACATAAACCCTACGCTAGAACTGGCCAACATTCTGCATTCCAAAGGCTTCTCCATAGCCATCATCTACACCAGCTTCAACTCCCTCAATCCTTCAACCCTAAACCCACACTTCACCTACCATTCAATCCCTGTTGACTTCACAGAAAACGAAGCCTCCATCAAGGATCCCACCCTTCAACTTTCCGTTCTAAATGCTAAATGTGTTGAGCCTTTCAGAGAATGCTTGGCCGGGTTGTTATCCGACGATGTTAATTCGGAGGACCCCATTGCATGCTTGATCTCGGATCCTATCTTCGACTTCACTCGATCGGTTGCAGAGAGCTTTAAGCTGCCGAGGATCGTGTTAAGGACCGGGGGTGCCGCTTCCTTCGCTGTTTATGCTGCATTTCCACTTCTCAAGGATAAGGGTTACCTACCAATACCAGGTACAATCTCAAGCCAACAAAACCCTATCATCAAATGTCTTTTTATCTCATCGTTGTTACTAATAAATGCAATATAAGTAGATTGAAAACACCACACAAAGACTAATAACTCGTTTCAAATGTTTTTGTTACCAGAAAACACTTTTAACACTTCTAGAAGCGATACTAGATTGGCATTTAGACAACTTATGCATATTTGAGTTAGGCTAATTAGTCAGGTTAGCATTTTTATTCCTTACTCTACCTCCTTGTAAATTAGCATTTTAGGACATGCATTAAAGGGCAAAATATATATACTTACTAGGAACCTTATATTTGGCTTTTTATTTTGACTATTAGATTCTCGACTAGAAGAACCAGTGACGGAGCTTTCACCTATCAAAGTTAAAGATCTACCAAGGATGCCCGATTGCGACCCTGAAGATTTCTATCGACTGATAACCAACATGGCAAATGAACCCAAGGCTTCTCATGGACTCATCTTCAATACTTTTGAAGATCTTGAAGGACAAGCACTTGCCACACTTCGCCGAGAATATTACCCCAATATTCCAATTTTCTCACTAGGTCCATTTCACAAGTGCGGCCCTACAACCTCTTCTTCTTCAACTAGCTTACAATCACAAGACCAAAGTTGCATTTCATGGCTAAACACTCAAGCGCCAAAATCTGTTGCTTATGTCAGCTTTGGGAGCCTTGCCGAGATAAATCAAGCTCAATTTTTGGAGGTTGCTTGGGGGTTGGCCAACAGTGGCCAACCTTTTTTGTGGGTGATTCGACCCGGATTAGTTCAAGAGTCGGATTGGCTTAAAATGTTACCTAATGGGTTTCTAGAAGCGTTGAAGGAGAGGGCCCATGTCGTGAAATGGGCTCCACAAAAAGAAGTGTTGGCCCACCCAGCAGTCGGAGTCTTTTGGACTCACTGTGGTTGGAATTCTACATTGGAGAGCATTTGTGAAGGCGTACCTATGATTTGTACACCATGTTTCAGTGATCAAATGGTGGATGCAAGATTTGTGAGCGATGTTTGGAAGGTAGGGTTGCAGTTGGAGGATGGGATTGAGAGAGGTGAGGTTGAACGAACAATTAGAAGACTGATGGTTGAGAAAGAAGGGGAAGAGATCAAAGAGAGAGCCTTAAAGTTGATGGAAAAGGCAAATCTTTCCCTCAAAGAAGGTGGCTCTTCGTACCAATCTTTAGATGGCTTGGTTAATCATATTTTATCCTTATAAATGGCTTAAAAATGGCTGATTATCTTTTTCTTGATACAAGCACTATTGATGAAATAAGAATCAAATACATAACCTCGAGTAAAAGATTTATGCATACTAATAAACATGCTCAAGATTTATACATACTAATAAACAGTAAACCCCTGGGCTTAGCAATCCAATCCGCCACCTTACTAAACAAACCAAATCATATTGACATATGGCATCTTCTATTTCAGATATAGATGGAAATACTTGGTATCCCAGTAGGACTCTTTGTAATCCAATGTATTTATATGTCGTCAATGAATGAATATGAGCTACGCATGCATGAATCACATTCTAGCAATATCTTTCCTAGTTAGATTTAGATCACGATCTCTTATTATTTTTAATTATAAAAATGTTTAAATCTACGATCTAAATCTCCATTATGTCATAAAATAATGAATGTCTATTATTATTGGATAATCAAACGTGCTAACAACATAATCAGGGGCGGAGGCACATGCAAGCTAGCCTAGGCCTAGGCCTATCCTGGAATTGATAAATACTAGTAATATGCCCACGTCATGCTGCGGGACTTTAATGCACAAACCTTAACTATATGAATAAGATACATTTAACCTGAAAAACATTCAACATAATCATGAACGAACAAAAATGATAGATCTAGGAAATTATAAAAAGCATTGTAACCGTAGATCCAAGAAATTATAAAAATCCATCCAGTCAAGAGACAACATAATAGTTGTGGGAAGGTGAGTATGCAACCAAGAATCTAAGATATACTTGACTTGTAATTCCATTATAATTTCACACAAAAAAAAAAAAAAAAAGATCAAATTTTGATTGAAACATCAAACAAAACAATCTCCTCTGTTACAGATTGGACCAACTAAATAAAAAATATATCGATATGATTTTCAACCTAACTATAAAAAAGAGCTTTATAACAGTGTAATCAACATTATTTGAACTCAACTAAAAAGAAACTGATTGCATGTTATAAATTTCATTAATTGAATGGTGGCGCAGCCCCTACGGAATGTTTTTTCAATCGATTTAGTAGTTAACACTGGCCAAATGCACAATACAAATCTTAGAAACTATTCCAAAGAAGTTAGGGCAAAAATTACCTCTAATCTTTGTTTCTCTTGTACTTTGGTATTGCGGGGTTGACTTGTAAATGGTAAATGAAGTCCTGAAAACCAAAGAATAAAAAGCCTTTTTTTTTTCTTTTCAGTTAACTAAAAAAAGCACACCGTAAACATCTTGGAAAGCAGACATAAACAAACATTGTTTTCTTCAAGTCTTTAGTCTATCTCTGCAAATCGCAATAACTCATATCCATTGAGAATCAAATTAACTAATTAACTTACCAACCCGCCCTGTAAATTTCACATCTATGCTCTAAACAGATTCTGTAACTAATATCCCAAAAAAGGGGCAAAAGGGAAGAAAAAAAACTTTTGCATGTTATACTGCAGTGTTTTTTTCCCAAGTGAATACACATGCAAAGTATCAAAGAGAGAAAGGAGAAAAAATTATCAAAATAAGAATTACACCTGTCCTATAATATAAACAAAAGGTAATTACAGAAAAATAGTTGGAAAACACAAAATAAGTAGAAGAGAAAACAGACAATCAGCATAATCTAAAATTATTTAAACAATTAATCCACATTGAAAAGCATACTTTACAAATCCAAACCAAATTACATCATCCAATAGATTTTTTTTTTTTAATACCTTTGTTATTGTGCCTTTAAATTGATTTCAGCAAAACTTGTTTCCTTTTCCACAGTTTGTGAAGCTCAAAATTTTCAAAAACCTACAATCATTACACAACGTTGTCACATCATAAGTACAGAAGAAATCACCGCTACCAAAATTTATAAAGACCAAAACAGTTAGCACCCAAAAATAACATTGATTGGCAAAGACCAATTTGCCAACAAAAGTTGAACAGGAAATACCCAGAAAAAATTTCCTTAGTTCTTACCATTCTTAAAAATATGACCCAACTTCAACTAAGACCCAAATTTTATTCAAGGATCGTGTTAAGCTAAGCAGCAAATTAAAAACTCACTAATCTTGTTCTTAATTATAGTAATTTAGAAATCAACCGATACAAAAAAAAAAAAAAAAAGTCACAAAGCTTAATAAAAACTCATGAAAAAACGAAGTTTTAAACACAACACCTGCACATGCCTATAATTTGGCTAATTTACAAACGCTCAACGTGCTCAGCAGATGTTAAACTTTTCAGCAGTAAATAATTTGAAACTAATAAAACCATCTCTAACTTTTCAGAAATATTTAAACTGAAATGAATTGTTATTCTTTTCAGAAATACCTAACTTTTCAGAAAGAGGCCCAAGAAGCTCATATGAATGAAGGGATTTTGCTTGCTGCACCCATAGACCTGTAAACTCAAGCAAACCCAACGTCAATCAGACCATAGGCCGAAAATCTCAACAAACAAAAAACCGAGCACAAATTAAAAATCAGAAGTCAGAGAAATTTGTGACCCTAATTTGTGAAACTGCTTTAAACCAACCTACCATGAAATTATAGCCGCTTGAGAAATCTTCAAATCAGATCGGAACAGGCAGCAAGGGGAAGAGTTTGCAAATCCCTAAAATCCCTCCCTCTCTCGCTCTGTCTCCGTCTCTCTCCCTGTCTCTCTCTATCTCTATCTCAGAGGCGGCATGGCCTCCTGTCTGCCCTACAATCCCCTCACCATCAATCCCAATTTTTGGCAGACCTCCCTCTCCCTTCCTCTCCCTGACATTCCACACCCTCATCCCCTTCTCTTCTGTAACTAATTAGACAAATAAGACCCAATTCGATTACGCAAAAACTGACAGAAAACCCAGTTTCCCAACACCCATTGAGCAATCTAACCATCAACTTTCAAAAACGTTCACCAAAATCTAATCTAAAACTCGAATTTGTTTATTCGTGCCAAATGTTAATGGGGAAGCAGATGATGACTTTATTATTCAAAACCAAAAGAAAATAAGAGAGAAAACAAAATAACAAGTTATAGTGTAAAAGCTGAGAATGTAAATAAACACGCAGGGAAAAAAATTGAAGATTCAAAGTAGGTGCATCGTGAAACACTTACTCCAATTAGACACAAAAAGTGATGGTGATGAGAAGAGAGAGAGAAAAGGCAGTAGCTTTGACTTTTCTGGCTTTTAAAGGAAGTAGCTTTCTTCGACCACCAAAAAGAGGAAGCTGCTTTTCGCTCGGCTGTGATTTTCCGAGGGAGATGGATTGTCTGCCTCCTGCTCTTCTTGTTGTTCTGTTTTGCGTGATTACGATTAAGTTACGTCAATATTTATTTTTTATTTTATTATTTTTATAAAAAAATTAATATAAAATATTGACGTAATTTAACTATGATCGCACAAAACAGACGGGCATGGGAAGGGGAGGGCAGACAATACATCTCCTTTCCCGAGTGTATGTGACTGGGTATATGGCACTTGCAATTTTTATGTCGATTATGGTAAGCGAGCAAGATGGACATGACGACATGAGATTGAATTCGAAAACCTGAGAAAAATTAAAAACACAAAATGAAGGTGTTCATTTTGTCACATTCTTATTACTAAAAAATTCAATACATTCATTAGTATGGCAACTTAACTATTTAATGCCATCTCATTAAACTAAAAAAAACAATTACCAAAAATAAGGGAAAACTATTTGGAAACCTTGTCTAGAGAGACCTGAGAGAAAGTGACGACTTCTCTTCTCATTCCACTCCGTACTTGATCTCTAAAGTTCATTTAGCATGTAATTGATGTTCAATTTCAAATTTAGTGGTAGCAATTAGCAAAGCTAATGTAAGAATCAAAATGAAAGAAAAAGCATCATGAAAGAAATCAAGATGAAGAATGAAATTTTGGCAACTCACCATTTTCTTCTTTTATATAAAAGATACATCCTATTTGTATTGAAAACAGGTTTCGGCAATCCCAGATATCCTCAAGAAGTATTTTGTATGATATTAAAAACATAATCCGTGAAATTATGGGCTGGTTTGGTATTGATGTGCTTTGAAAGAAAACTGTTTATGCTGTGCTGTGAGAATAAGCTCATTTTTACTAATTCACGTTTTCAGCTTTTTTCACCCAAAACTGTGAAAATAAGCTGTTTTTAAGTGTTTATCAAACACCTTTTTGAGTTCAACTTTTTTTTATACCCACTTTTTATAAAAGCACCTTAGTATCAAACCAGTACTATATCTATTAGTTGAGAACAACAACAAATCTTCATGCATAGGTTGTAGAGAAAGACATCATGCATACAAAAGAACACGCAAGCATAAAATAAACGAAGCAGGGAAAACCAAAAATACAATTGAATACACTGTCAAAAGAACAAGAATAAATGAAAATTACAAAACAAAGAAATGATGAGAAACCAAAGTACCCATTTCATAATCTAATTGCTTTTTAGTTTGCTTGCCATTTTTAGTTCTTCAATTTAGAGAGAAACCATAATTCACCACATGAATAAAGTGAAAACATAAAAGATACGTGGGATAAGCTGACATCCATCCCTCCCTGCGTAATGCATTCACTTTTGAACCCCAAACACAACGAAACAAAAATTCACACACATGAACTACTGCTCCCCTATGTAATAAGAATTAAAACCATCTCAAAACAAAATGGTAAACGATAAGAGCACTGTAAAAGTAAAATTGCAAGAAATCTAACACTTGGAGGGCAAGTACTAATCAGACGAAAATGAAAGATTGAACTACCTTGCGTGGAACTGTGCCTTGGTTTTTTCCCATGCTTACAGGAAGCTTTGCACTAAGCTCTTATAGCCCAAATTTTCTCTGAGGGGAAAAAACACAATTTTGAAATAAGATTTTCATATTATACCTTAAAGAGAAGAATTAGAAAATGAATAAGAGAACAATGAGTACTTTTCATCATATATTGTTAGAGTATGTGGTCCTCTGGTCCAATGGTCCTGCAGCCATATTTACTTTATAACTCTTTCTTTTAGTCTAAAAAACATCTTGGATCTCAAATTAATATGAATATGGATTCATACTTTATAACTAAAGATTTTACTGCTCCTGATAAGATGAACAATATGCCATTTATCGCATGCATTGCATTACAATCACAATGGAACATCTCATTAGACATCCCCATACAAAAAGTTTTTATTGCTACTTTGATTTTTGCTTATCCTTCTCCAGAAGCATGAGGGAGCTAATTTTTTTTTTTTTATTCCAATAACGTTATAGGGTTGCAAGGATATTATCAATTTAATTGATTGTATTTGATTGATGGAACTTCTACATCTATATTTCAGGTTTTCAATTCTAGCACTGGGAGAGTCATTCACAAATGTTCGACAGTGAGATTACCTCCATGGATTATGCTCACAATGAACAGCTCATTTTCCGCAGTGATGGGACGGTATTTTTCAGTCATTCACCATTCAATCAATTCAAACCGAGGAACAGGCAACATCAAGAAGAGGATCTGCCATGTCAGGATCACAGTCGTCCAATTAATACAAAAAATCAAGATAAAAACGATCAATTTACATAACAGCCTTTAATTTTCTCAACAACCAAGCAAAAGAAAATACCCATCCGTTAAACACTTGATTTGGGAGTAAATATTGCGAAACTGGGCTTCAATCCCCTCAACCGCAACAACCGAATCGAGATGTGCAAGTCATTGAAAAACTCACCCAAGATTTCAAAGCTGCATAAAGAAATAAATAAGCACATAAATTGGCCAACCCAGGAATCAAAGAAATCAAAATCCACCCATAATCAAAGAAATCAAAACCCATCCAGAACCATCCATGATTTTGATCATTCTGTTAAAAACGATTTTGGACAATTTTCAAAGCTTTGTAACTCAATCGTTTCTTAATCAAATTCAACCCATAATATATCAAAATGAAGATAGAAAAGTATCGAATAAGATTATACCTATTTGGAAGCCCAATGGTTGCCGGAGATGACCGAAAAATAGCCTGGAAGATGACTGGTCCGCGGGAAAATTCGAAAACTCGCTGGAAACTAAGTAAACTTTAAACGTTCATAATTTCTTCAATACTCAACGAAATCGAGTGATTCAGAAACGAAAATAATATTTCTTGACTAAACGAAGAGAATGGTACCTTTTTCGAAGGGTAACTTGCCGTGGTTTGATCGGACAACGGCTCGAAAGTGGCTAACCATTTTCTAGTTAGCCACTTTCGAGCAGTTTTCCGGCCAAACCATGTCGAGTTAGCAGTAAAGAAAGATACCATTCTCTTCGTCTCATCGAGAAGTATGATTTTCATTTTTGAATCACTCGATTTCGTTGAGAATTGAAGAAGTTATGAACGTTTAAAGTTTACCCAGTTTCCGACGAGTTTTCCAATTTTCTCTCGGACCAGTCACTTTTCAAGCTATTTTCCGGCCCTCTCCGGCAATCATTAGGCTTCCAAATATGTATAATCTTGTTCTACACTTTCTTATCTTCATTTTGATATATTATGGGTCGAATTTAGTTAAGAATCGATTGAGTTACGAAGCTTTGAAAATTGTCCAAAGAGTTTTTAGCGGAATGACCAAAATAATGGAAAATAGACAATCTCAGAGACCATTTCTATTGATTTTCAATCTCATGGACCATTTCTATTAATTATACAAATCTCAGGAACTATTTTGGATAATAACCCTTTGTTTTATCCTTGGTTTTGGGCTCTTGGTTGGGCTCGGTTTGGTTAGCTTAGGAGGGTCCAACTTTGCTTTTTTTCCATTTACATGTGGGCCTTTGATGTGTAAATTATATAATGGAATAACAAATGTTTTCCTTTGTGCGGAAAGGATTTATCAAAAAAATTACCCCAGGTCTCATCAGCAGAAACTCCTTTGAATATTTTCTGATGCCTTGTTCGAGAAGTAAACTGCGAAGGGTTTTCAAGTGTTCCAATGCAAAGATCCATAACTTAGTAATTTGAGTTTTTCCATTTACCATAATAACAAAATGGTCACTTGTAGAAATATGGTCAATAGACCTAAACTGACAAGAAAAACACATTGGATTGATTCTGATTTTGGTGCGTTGGGGGAGAGGGGTTTGTATAGTGAGAATACGGGGGCACTTTTGTAATTGTGTGGCGGTGTTTTATGGTTCCGGTTGTTTCAAGAGGAGGACGGAGGAGGAGGGAAGTGTTCGGTAGTCTCTGGTTCCACAAGGGGATTTCGAGAGAGAAGAAGAGAAGAGACCATCGTGGAATATGGCATGTGGCAGAAGATCAACAGGGGTACATTATTACTAATGGGACTATGAAGGAATACAAGGGTACCGCCCATAGACAAAATGGGATTTGGATCCTCTCTTGAGCTAATGGAGAGGATCCTCCTGACCAACCATCGTGGGCTGTTCGATTTTTATCCAACAGGTACAAACAGAAAGGTCTCTTTAAATAAGCGCAAAACCCAATTGGTAAATATAGACAAGGATTTTTCTTGTATATCTTTGTCAGCAACCACAGAAAAATAGGAACGACAAAAGGAGTTGGTGGTGGACATGTGGGGTGAGGAAAAAATCAACTTCAACAGAGCCATCAATAAGATAAGGTTCCAGGGTTGCGTCATGCGTGAGCAAATTTCCCATATTAGATATTTTCCTAAGGTAGGTTATATGTTACTATATAAGTGAGAGTAGAATATTTTCATTTGTTTCTTCACTTGTATAATAAAATATCTGTATGTAATCATGTTTCAAACACATTAAAAAATATTTTTTCTCGAGCTCTGCCGCCTCATCAGTCAGCATTCACAATAAGTTCACAGTCACAAGCTAAACAAACGTAAACATTGTCGATTGGAAAATGGAACAAAGCAAAGGCAGGAGACTGGTCCTCTTCCCATTTCCCTTCCAAGGGCACATAAACCCTATGCTGGAACTGGCCAATATTCTGCATTCCAAAGGCTTCTCCATAGCCATCATCTACACCAACTTCAACTCCCTCAATCCTTCAACCCTAAATCCACACTTCACCTACCATTCAATCCCTGTTGACTTGACAGAAAACGAGGTCTCCATTAAGGATTTAATCGTTTTTGTTTCTGTTCTAAATGCTAAATGTGTTGAGCCTTTCAGAGAATGCTTGGCCGGGCTGTTATCCGATGACGTTAATTTGGAGGGCACCATTGCATGCTTGATCACCGACCTTCTCTTCGACTTCACTCGATCTGTTGCGGAGAGCTTTAAGCTGCCGAGGATGATGTTAAGGAC